CGAGAACCCGATTCTCCATACAAATGCAATCTCCACAGATGGGGTTTTTGCACGAAGACGTTATCTCTGTCCTGTAAACTGCAGGAATCATCCTGTCAATCGCGGTAATTGGAAATCTGCGTGCTCCACGGAAAAGCGAACCCTAAGGTTTTCTTCATAAACAGTGCGGCTATTACTCGAGTAAATACGGTAAATAAATCGCCAAGCAAGAGAAAGCGAAGAAAAAAGCCCTGCAAGGACTTTTTTACTGGTTTTTAGTTTGCACCGAACCTGAGGGCACTTAATGAAACAAGCAATAAATAACCTCCTTCATGACGTCCTTGGTCGCTTCAGTGGCCGTGAACTAGAGGAGGTGTAGTGGGCTCAGCGAGCGCTCACGGCTGCCGCACTCCGTATCGACGGCTCGAGAGGGCGCCACTAAAGCATGTTCTTGATAGAGTGTATGAAGCGGGCAGCCAGGGCGGCTCGCATTGCATTTGCTGCGCGATTAAGCACTAATTCGGCATGACACTTCATTGGCCACAAACGACAGCAAACACGGGGTGAAAATCAGCTCAGAACGGGAGCCACTTCGCGCTGCCATACCGCGAAACGGCAAAGCCCCAAGCCAAAGCTGCTCGCTGGAGGCCTTCGGAGCGCTCGGAACCGGTCGGATCCTCCAGTCCATACGACCACAGCGCCGCCGCGTACATTCGGGACCTTTCTACGCTCGCCGCTCGTCGGTGCCTGATCCCACTGCACCTTTCTAGTTAGTATGCGCCGCCTTTTCCACCGCTTGGTGGCGGAAATGTCGACGGGTGTTTCCTTGTTTCCGTACTTTATAAACTGCACTTGTTTCTTTTCTGACCTAAATTACTGAACAAAAACTACCTTTATAAATAATTGAAACGGTTCGCGCCACTTATATCTTGTATTTCGACTAAAAAGAAGGTTTTTGTGGCTCTGACCATTAGTAAGCCAAGGACCAAAGGCGTCACATATCGCGCGCTTTCGGCACCGCGGGTCGCCCCCGTAGGTGGAGGAGGTTTCCGCGCCGTCCGGTTAAAATATAACGCACTGATATTTAACTACTCTTTCCGAGCCCGCTGACATAGACGCGTAAATATGATTGCAGGGCCCCTTTAAGCTGCCAGTGGCTGTATAGACAAGCGGAGGTTGAGGAGAAAATCCCCACTCCTGGCCCCGTTCTTCGCCAGTTCTCTTTCCCCCTTCTTCGTTTCAAACACCTCAACCTCTTCACATCATGTTTATAATTTCCGTTCCAGCTTGACAATTCGCAAAGGCAAGTGCAGAGCGTCCGAGTCATGGCGTGTGGTTTCGGGCGCCGTGGGACCCGGGGAAGTAGGGAGCCTGTCTCGGGAGCAGAGCCTCTCTGGGCTCGGTGAACGTGTTGCTTCGACGTACTACTCCAGCACTAGACTGTCCGCCTCTTTTATCACTTTTCTTCCGTCACCGACTGTCCTTTTTGGGTTCACGAATCAGCGCTTCACACATGCATACGATGGGTATAAAAACAAACACACACACATACACACACACACGCACACGCACACACACACACACAACCACACAAATTTGTATAACCTAGCGGCGACGGCGGTTAACTTGTTGCCTCATGCATGTCTGATGCATGACAGCATGATTCTCCCATTCTTAGACCTCGGGGACGTGCGTCTGTGTCCTTTGTGCCGGCGATGTGGATGATAGTTTTGGTTCTGTCTTGATAACGCGCGGAGATAAAGAGAAGAGTGCAGAGCTCGCGTTTCGGATATTCCTAGATATCAATGATTTTTCTAACCGCAGTGGCTACAATCGAGCCTGGCTCCAAGCGTTCGGCGACGTATTGATTGCAATCCTGCAATCATAGACCGCTGGCGCAGTAGTCGTCCTCAATCCGTGGTCCCAATTCGATACAGGTATGTCGATGCCATCGTTAATCACATGGGCCAGCAGGATCCTGTGGCAGCGACGCCGTCGCCAAGAGTCACGTAACAATGTCAGCAACCCTTCTGAATGAAACCAAAGCCTTCGAAATACATTACGCAATGTTCTCCCTAAGAAGTAATACATGTAGATTTGATTGTGTAAAGCAACACATTGAATTCGTATAATTTGACGTTGAAGAAAAGAAAACGCATAATAAAAAAAATTAAACAATATATATATTTTTGATTTTGTTTTTATTAACATTTTCTTATAATAATGAGAGGAAAATGGAAAATGGTAGTTCGCTTCTGGAGACCTTGGCGGTTAAGTTGCTTTGCAAAGGTTTCCATCTTATGCCAATGGTGATTTTTGGTAGAGCCTTCCTGAGGTTTTCTATTGAAACGGAACTCTAAATAAGTTTCTGATCGTTTTGACTCACGTTGTTGCGTGACGGCTCTGCTATACGGCTGTAAACTGCAGGAATCATGCTGTCAATCGCGGTAATTGGAAATCTGCGTGCTCCACGGAAAAGCGAACCCTAAGGTTTTCTTCATAAACAGTGCGGCTATTACTCGAGTAAATACGGTAAATAAATCGCGAAGCAAGAGAAAGCGAAGACCACGACCTGTGTCTCTTAAAGGGGCCCTGCAAGGACTTTTTTACTGGTTTTTAGTTTGCACCGAACCTGAGGGCACTTAATGAAACTTCTCTTTTCTCGAACTTAGCTTTATTTTAGAAGTTATAGGCAAATTAAAATTACAAAAAACAAGCAATAAATAACCTCCTTCATGACGTCCTTGGTCGCTTCAGTGGCCGTGAACTAGAGGAGGTGTAGTGAGCTCAGCGAGCGCTCACGGCTGCCGCACTCCGTGTCGACGGCTCGAGAGGGCGCCACTAAACCATGTTCTTGATAGGGTGTATGAAGCGGGCAGCCAGGGCGGCTCGCATTGCATTTGCTGCGCGATTAAGCACTAATTCGGCAGGACACTTCATTGGCCACAAACAACAGCAAACACGGGGTGAAAATCAGCTCAGAACGGGAGCCACTTCGCGCTGCCATACCGCGAAACGGCAAAGCCGCAAGCCAAAGCTGCTCGCTGAAGGCCTTCGGAGCGCTCGGAACCGGTCGGATCCTCCAGTCCATACGACCACAGCGCCGCCGCGTACATCCGGGACCTTTCTACGCTCGGCGCTCGTCGGTGCCTGATCCCACTGCACCTTTCTAGTATGCGCCGCCTTTTCCACCGCTTGGTGGCGGAAATGTCGACGGGTGTTTCCTTGTTTCCGTACTTTATAAACTGCACTTGTTTCTTTTCTGACCTAAATTACTGAACAAAAACTACCTTTATAAATAATTGAAACGGTTCGCGCCACTTATATTTTGTATTTCGACTAAAAAGAAGGTTTTTGTGGCTCTGACCATTAGTAAGCCAAGGACCAAAGACGTCACATATCGCGCGCTTTCGGCACCGCGGGTCGCCCCCGTAGGTGGAGGAGGTTCCCGCGCCGTCCGGTTAAAATATAACGCACTGATATTTCACTACTCTTTCCGTGCCCGCTGACATAGACGCGTAAATATGATTGCAGGGCCCCTTTAAGCTGCCAGTGGCTGCATAGACAAGCGGAGGTTGAGGAGAAAATCCCCACTCCTGGCCCCGTTCTTCGCCAGTTCTCTTTCCCCCTTCTTCGTTTCAAACACCTCAACCTCTTCACATCATGTTTGTAATTTCCGTTCCAGCTTGACAATTCGCAAAGGCAAGTGCAGAGCGTCCGAGTCATGGCGTGTGGTTTCGGGCGCCGTGGGACCCGGGGAAGTAGGGAGCCTGTCTCGGGAGCAGAGCTTTCCTGGGCTCGGTGAACGTGTTGCTTCGAAGTACTACTCCAGCACTAGACTGTCCGCCTCTTGTATCACTTTTCTTCCGTCACCGACTGTCCTTTTTGGGTTCACCAATCAGCGCTTCACACATGCACACGATGGGTATAAACACAAACACACACACACACACACACACACACGCACACACACACAAATTTGTATAACCTAGCGGCGACGGCGGTTAACTTGTTGCCTCATGCATGTCTGATGCATGACATCATGAGTCTCCCATTCTTAGACCTCGGGGACGTGCGTCTGTGTCCTTTGTGCCGGCGATGTGGATGATAGTTTTGGTTCTGTCTTGATAACGCGCGGAGATAAAGAGAAGAGTGCAGAGCTCGTGTTTCTGATATTCCTAGATATCAATGATTTTTCTAACCGCAGTGGCTACAATCGAGCCTAGCTCCAAGCGTTCGGCGACGTATTGATTGCAATCCTGCAATCATAGACCGCTGGCGCAGTAGTCGTCCTCAATCCGTGGTCCCAATTCGATCCAGGTATGTCGATGCCATCGTTAATCACATGGGCCAGTAGGATCCAGTGGCAGCGACGCCGTCGCCAAGAGTCACGTAACCATGTCAGCAACCCTTCTGAATGAAACCAAAGCCTTCGAAATACATTACGCAACGTTCTCCCTAAGAATTAATACATGTAGATTTGATTGTGTAAAGAAACACATTGAATTCGTATAATTTGACGTTGAAGGCAAGAAAACGCATAATAAAAAAATTAAACAATATATATATTTTTAATTTTGCTTTTATTAACATTTTCTTATAATAATGAGAGGAAAATGGAAAATGGTAGTTTGCTTCTGGAGACCTTGGCGGTTAAGTTGCTTTGCAAAGGTTTCCATCTATGCGAATGGTGATTTTTGGTAGAGCCTTCCTGAGGTTTTCTATTGAAACGGAACTCTAAATAAGTTTCTGATCGTTTTGACTCACGTTGTTGCATGACGGCTCTGCTATACGGCTTCCGTGAACTCTAGAAAAACCAGGGGTTCCACCACCTGCTTCGGCAGGTTCGAAGGAAAGACTCATACCGAGAGTCAAACATTGAATCACCGAGCGCCACGGAGACAATGAGGCGGTCCATTTCCTTTCGTCACACAGATAAGCGGCGTTCGCTGACCAGCACTTTTTTTCTCCTGGACGCGTCCGCTCTCGACTCGCTGCACGCCGGGGCTGAGTCCCGATGCGGTCGTTGTTTGCATGTCCACTCGCGCACGAGGGCGCGTGCTCGGCCGGCGCCGCCGCTGCCTGGCCAAACAGCGCTGTCGAGTGGGAGAGTTGCCTCGAAGGCGCGGTGGAAGCGCATTCCGCTCTCCTCCTCTCCCGAGCGCTGCGAGCGCGCGCGCGGGTGCTTCGTCCGCGCCTGCGCCCGCACTTGCGGTGGGGAGCTCAAACTCCGGAGGCCCAAAGTGGCGCGTCGAGTTTACTGCGAGCCCAGGCAGCGGCCGACCAGCGACGCAAATTTCCCGCCGGAGGCGGCATCGATTGACGGCGTTCGGTCGAGCTTGTCCGTCCGAAGGCAGCGCTCGACCTGTTGGACGCGATGGAACCGAGCTTGGCCTCCACGTGGACGTTGGCCAGCGTCCTCGCGCTCGCCGCCCCGCTGGTCGGGGCCTGGAGGGACTTTAAGCCGGGTGAGTGACGCCTGACGTCGCGCAAAGCCCCACTTGAATGGAGCTTTCGCAGGACGGTTGTTCCACGTAAAGAGAAACATTGTTGCTTTATACTTACTGTCTTTGACCTTTTCCAACGATAGTCAAGATCCGTGGATGGTTCGTTGTACCGTAGCACATTGATCTCAACGCTCTGGGTAAAACCTACATGATGTGGACACAACTTAAAATGGTGCACATACAAAATGTATTGTTTTGTGCCTTGACTGTTTTCGATTAGCGTATAGGGTTTGTCGCTGGGTACATGAATAACTTAGGCGCGATTTATTTTCGTTATAGCGTTTTTTCAGCAAAACCGAGGCACATGACTCGACTATTGTGGAGATCATTTGCCTCCGCTTTGTTGTTTTTTTATTAATTTTTTAGTCAGGAAAATTAGAGTAAGTATTTTTCGTCTTGTTCAGTGTTTGGTTGTAATACTTTGTCCACGTTTTCATAGTTCATGAATTAACCATGTCATATCAACGGAACAGTTGAACATCTTGAGGATACTCTCCTTTCTCTATTCACCCATTTTAAAGTATCAAATTGGAGCTACATAACTGCTCAATATTTGGCTTTTCTCAGCGATTGTGAACATTAAGAATGGGAAAAATACTTGCACAAATTTATCGAAATACAAAGACAAAATACTACGACAAAATGTATCTCTTAAAAATGCAATTACAGTTTTAAAACTCGATTAATACGAAATACATATACGAGAGGCATTTTACCATCTTCAAATACGTCTTAAAATACATTTCGTTCCAAGTTCCGCTGATATATGTGTGATCCAAATTCAACCGAGAGTGAAAATGCGAACAGCCCGTTCCCAAATAAAAATTTTAATTTATATGTCAAAACGATAAAGTGCATAAAATTGAAATCTCAGTTGTAGCAATAACTTTTATTAGATATACTATAGACGGGTACCATGTTCTGAAAGAATACATTTTATCAATGTTGTTGTGGAGCTAATTCGCACAGGTTTCTTAAAACTTCTAGCGCGACCTAAGCAACAAAGGCTTTTCGAGCAACATATCGTTGTGTTGCTCGAACACAACGATGTTTTTGTTGGAAAAATAAAGCTACTATTAAGTATTATTAGTATTATAATGCAATCAGTGTTTAGGGACAAAATGAGGCTATCAAGAAAAAAATATGCATTTCACTGGATAAACAAAAATTAGGATTTGATTGCAGATAAAAAAACACGCTTAACTGCAGGAAACATCTGCAGCATTGTGATGATGGTGTGCTGTTCACAGGGTGAAAGCACTTCAGAATTTCGTCGACGGAAAGTGATCCCCATAAGTTAAAGAATGCTTCGCTCTCACCATATTGCGGCGCATAGATTGCAGCAAGTAATGAGAATAGGTCCTGTGCTGCTTGCGCGAACAGATCTCTCATGTCATGCGTATCACGGCGTGGTGTTCAAAAAGCCATGAAATAAAGGCGGCTTTGAGTCAACAACCTCGGAGCAATTTGTAGCAAAAAAAGAATCAAAACAACCCCAAACACAAATCCAACCATTTATACCGATTGTGGGTTCCGTGCTTCTTTTTCCGCCTAAGTTTTTTGCTATCGAACTGTGGCAATAGTCATGTCGCATTGAAGAGGTTCCAAACTTGTCTGTAATTGCAGTTGCATTTGAAGTAACAATTTTTAGTGTTTAACTATAACTAAAAATGCATTCCCTAATATGTAAATGAATACAATGCGTTCAAGCTGTTCTAAATCCATTATGTTTCAAATTATAATGCAATTAAATGCAAAGGTGCAAGCGAGCTGGACAAGAATGACGCACATAATCCCTGGAGAAGGGGAACAAGAGGGACAAAGGACAAACACAAATCTCCAAACACAGCTAGGTGACTGGTGCGTGACCGAAAAAATCCGCCTGGTCCGGGTATGGAACCCGGGACCTCTCCTGGAGAGGTCCCGGGTTCGATACCCGGACCAGGCGGATTTTTTCGGTCACGCACCAGTCACCTAGCTGTGTTTGGAGATTTGTGTTTGTCCTTTGTCCCTCTTGTTCCCCTTCTCCAGGGATTATTTGCGTCATATTTCAAATGCTGTCCCCCCTAGCTAAAGTGACGTTTAATTATTCCCGGGCGCGTTGGTCACTTTAACAATATCAAGCGTAGGGCCAATAAAAGTATAATGCGCATTAACCCTCCCTGTAATGATCAACTAGCCTTTTGACTGGTTGTTACTGTTTGCAAAGAACCAGGACATCGAATAATGAGTCAGCCAAAGACGATGAATAGGGGAATTTCACGGTGGCAAGTGTTTTAAAAAGGGTGACCGTCATTTACAACTCCTCATTGGGCAGGGAGCTCTTGTGTGTTGTTGTTTCTTCTCCAAAACTTTTGTAACTTATAATTAGTTACATGCTGTCCCCCCAGCATTAACCAGAGGGCATCGCTATGAATGAAATGATGGATGGATGAATCAGGCTCACGGCGCAGGGACTGAAATATCGCTAAGCAACGGGTGTACGCACCTTCCGTCCCATGGTCCCCAGCACCACCTCTCGCCACCTTTTTTGTACACTTGGGGTGGTTGCTAGGTTGAGCGTACATGGCACTCGCGATATACACGCTCTCTGGAAGCACCTTATTATTGGTAGAAACCTCCTACTCTCGACGACGTGCCAGCTTTTGTATCTTTCTAGTCCTGGGAGCCTCATAATGGTAAGTTGTAGCAGAAGTTTGACTAAAGGACAGCTGCTTGGTGGCTGAAAACGTTAAGTGTCCCAAGAAAACATCGACTGCCACTTGTAGACTTCCAAGAGCTTTCGTGTCAAGTTCTTCCGAGCAGCTTCGTTGTTGCTCGTTCTTCCGCAGCGTTGGCTGCGCTCTGAACTAAGGTAAAGCGAAGAAAATATTTAGATCTTTGTGTTTTAAAACCCAAACCAACGAAGATCATCTGGCACGCCCCAGCGAAAATTCCGCGGGTTCATTTCGACCAAAGGGAGATATTTTGACGTGCAACCGAAATCTCGAACGGCCTCCATCAGGTTGTGGGCACCTGGGCCGGCATTCGCACCCGCCAAATATGAATTCATAAACCAGCGCGTTAACTCGGAACAAAAAAAAAAATAAAAAATTCGGGGTGTGTACGTTTATACAGCCTAGAACTTAGTCTGCCTCAACGGGCGACTTGTCTCCCAGCTGTAGATCAACAATTTAGCCAGTGCAGTGCAACCGCAGGCCTGGGGTCTTTAACGTGCACCACGCAGTAGTGATACACGGCCGCACGCCGGTACGATGCTCATCCAGATCGAAACAAGCATGGGTGGGGTTTGAACTCAGAACTCCTAAGTTCTGCAGCGTGAGCTTTCGCTCCACATGCTCCGTCTGGTGTACGCTAGCCCTCTCAGCCACCATGGAACTCTCTGGCGGCCTCTGATGCGTCACGAATTGAATCCGTACAAAAACGTTTTGTTCGCATTGCGTATGACAGGCATTTTAATAGAAGGTGTTATTATAATTACAAATATATTCTTAAGACTTTAAGCTTACAAAATTTATTGACGTGCAGACTCTCGCGTGATATTTTATTTGTGCACAAAGTGATCGACGGTCAATGTGATGCTGACTTTTTAAGCTCTGTCCGTTTTCACTCGCCTCCTCGCGTCTGTAGAAAACACACTGTATTCTATCTGTCCTCGAAGAACACAAACACTCTGTTTTATATCTGTCGAAGAACACACTGTCCCGGTTAATTCGCTTGCAAATCAGTGAACGACGTACACTCTAAAAAAAGCCCGTGCGTCTGCTTTCCCGCACAACACTCGGAGAGCCAATCACCGCAACTTACGGAGGCAGCTCAGCGAATGACGATGCCAAAACATATGTTTAGACGAAAAAACGCAGACTGAGTTGTGACATTAAGCAATGCAAGCGTGACGTTTTGCATTGCTTAATGTCAAAACTCAGACTGCGTTGTTTGGTCTGAACTTATGTTTCGGCATTGTCATTCGCTGAGCTGCCTCCGTAAGTTGCGCTGATTGGCTCTCTGAGTGTTGTGCGTGAAAGTAGACGCACAAACATTTTTTAGAGTGTAGAGTCACCAGGGCCTCTAAACTCGTCAAACACAAAGTTGCGACCGAAGTTGAGGAAGCGCACCGATTGGCCTATCACGACGATGACTTCGCACTTTTTTTGCCGGCGTCCAATAGGCGCGCTCCGCGAACTTTCTGCTCTAACTTTGTGTTTGACGAGTTTAGGGCCCCATGTTTAGATATTTTTTGTGACTGCTTCTTTCAAGCGTGATCTTGATATGCTTCTGCATCATGCTTAGGACGATGTCTCAATGAGTCGCTCTTCTTTTTCTTCTGTGTATTTGCCACCACATAAAACCTCACGGCTGTTCTGGGGCACTCAAGAAATAAAAGATGATTATTATTGTGATTATTATTATTATCTGCTCCTTTTTTATCTACTTCTGGGGTTCCTCAAGGCAGTAACCTCGGTCCTCTGCTGTTTTTGGTTTTTGTAAATGATCTAACTTCCTGCATCAAACACACGCGGTTTTTGTTATTTGCTGATGATATTAAGTTGTTTACAGCGGTTAAAACGGTTGACGATTGTAAATGTCTTCAGCGCGATATAGATTCTATTTCGGCGTGGTGTTTTTCAAATGACCTACTCTTAAATGAGTCAAAGACGAAAGTTATGTCCTTTTCTAGGAAGCGTGAAATTCTGAGTTTTCCCTATGTATTAGATTCCACCAATATTACTCGAGTTGAGGTCATTCGTGATCTAGGCGTTTTTATGGATCCTGCAATTAATTTCAACCATCACGTGACCACAATTACGAATGCTTCCTTTCGACTGCTGGGAGCCATTACACGAGTGACACGCGATTTTTCTAAACCACTTTGTATTTTACGTTTGTTCTCTTCACTGGTGCGTAGTCGTGTTGAATATGCCTCAGTTGTCTGGAACTGTATTGGAGTGACAAATTCAGGT